CTGCCCGTTTCTTCACTCTGGAGTTGTACAAGTCCTGAAGACTGGGCAGGTGCACACCAATGATCCTTTCTGCTGTCCTAACAGTCCGCTGCAGTCTTCTTATATCTGATTTGCTGGCTGACCCAAACCAGACAGTAATAGAAGAGCACAGCACCGACTCAATAACAGCGGAGTAAAACTGTGTCATATGCGCCTGTGGCAGGTTGAACCTTTTCAGTTGACGAAGGAAGTACAACCTCTGCTGAGCCTTTTTCACGATGGAGTCAATGTGAGTGTCCCACTTCAGGTCCTGTGAGATGGTGGTTCCCAGGAATCTGAATGACTCCACTGCAGCCACAGTGCTGTTCATGATGGTGAGTGGGGGGAGAGCAGGGGGGTTTCTCCTGAAGTCTACTATCATCTCTACAGTTTTGAGCGTGTTCAGCTCCAGGTTGTTGTGACTGCACCAGACAGGCAGCTGCTCAACCTCTTGTCTGTAAGCAGACTCGTCGCTGTCCTGGGGCCCATTCTTCGTACTTTGCTAACTCAGTTAGCTGGATTTGATTGTTGACGATTTGGCATGATCTTGGATTGTTTGGTTCTTCGAAGCTCATCCCGGAGTTGTTGTCATAGCAACAGGCCCGTAATCTTAAACCTGCTCAGGAGCAGGCTTATTTCATGTAAATGGAGTTGCTGTCATAGCAACAGGTCCATAAGCTTAAACCTGCTCGGGAGCGGCTTATTTCATGTAAACAGGATTAGATCGCATCTTTTTAAGCAGAACTGATACTTAAAATCTGTCCGCTACCACTGTTACTTTGTTACAAGAGTATCCTACTGATCCAGGGACAATCATTTAAAAATAATAATCATTTAAAAATTAATTTAAAAATAATATTATAATGTTGTGTAGTCTATAATACTAGACACAGCCAGCTTTATTCCCTGAAAGATGTATTCGTCATAAAATAATTACTTCATAATTGTATTAGAGTCTCACACACATGCTATACAGATAATGTAGAGCCGTGCATTAATTTGAGTGATGACAGATATTATGGGAGTGGCTTGATGGAGTGCAGGAGATGCAGATAACATGATCTTGACCCTTAAGAAACTTTAATTAATGCTGTCACGTAACAAATCTGTTTCAAAGTTAAAATTAAATGAATTGCTAATTACTACTTTGAAATAACAATGTAAAGCCTGCACAAATATTTGAAATCGTGAATATAAATAATTGGGAATCGTGTAAAAAAATGTTTTAATTAAATAAAAACAGTGCACATTTCATTTATCTATTAAAATATTTATGCAGTTTTGTTCGACTGGCTGTTTCCGTATAAAAGTCCAGAAATTTGTCAGCTTTTTCATCAGGCACAGAGATCAGTTATCATGATTAGAAGATCTGGCATCTTTCAAATCGTCTCAGATGTATTAAGCGATGTACGAAGATCGTTCAGGTCGTCAGCCAGTTGTTGATTGGCCTCAGTGCTGGGGGATGGGGTCTTGTAGCTGGTGATAGCTTTCAGGCCTTTCCACACTGATGTAGGGTCAATTGCTTGAAAGCTGTTTTTTTAGCTTTCCAGAGTAGTTTAACTTTGCCACTCTTATCTCCCTATTCAGTGTGTATTTGGCCTGTTTGTACAAGTCTTTGTCCCCACTCCTGTAGGCGTCCTCTTTGGGATAATGAAAGAGTCCGGATAACGCTGCTCTGTGTGTGTAATTTGATTGGCCAACAGTTCTAGCGCCGCGCTTACACACAGGAGGAATGTATGTACTCACCAGAATAAACGAGGAAAACTCCCGCGGCGAATAAAAAGGCTTACAGTTAATAAAGAGAGCTTCCAAGTTTGGGCAGCACATCTTGGGCAGTCACGTCTGTACACCAGCCTTCATTGACATAAAAACATAATCCACCACCTCTCGTTTTCCCCGACGACTTGGTGACGCAGTCAGCTCTGAACAGCTGGAAGCCCGTTAGATGAAGCGCGCTGTCCGGGATGGCTCAGCCAGGTTTTCGTGAAGCAGAGCGCAGCGGAGTTTAAAAAGTCCTTGTTTATGCGGGTGAGGAGTTGTAGTTCGTCTGATTTATTTGCAAGGGAGCGGGGATTCGCCAGATGAATACTCGGCAGCGGAGTCCTAAAACCACGCTGATGGAGTTTCACGAGCGCACTTTCCTGGCTTGCGTCGCCTGGAGTGCTTGTATAGGAACGCAGCTCCTCCGACTAAAATGTTCAGTAAAATGTCTGAATGTTCAAACGTCGGCAAAAAGTTATCTGGTGTGCTATTCCTTATGTCCAAGAGTTTGTTTCTAGTGAAGCTGATCGGAAAAACGTTGCTTAAGACAGGACAAACAAACAAAAACAGTAAAAGTACCAAGGAGCAGCAAACCGAGGCGGCCATGTGCGGCGCCATCTTGCAGTTGCTGTCTCTGGTGGGGCACGTGATGTGCTGAGTAAAATGTCCCATTTGTTGACTGCCATATAAACACTCACAACGCTATTTACTTGATCAGCTTGACAATTCTGGATTTTCTGTCAAATACATGCTATTATGCTGTGTATAAAATGTTTAAAATGTTTAAAGTTTATGTCCTGCACAACTCAGAAATGTTGGGTATTGAGGTTTTCCTTATGGCGCCTGAGGAGTAGACGTGCGTGCGGTTCTCTCCCGTAAACTTTTCAGTTTTGTCTTATAAACCTCAGTGCTTTTGTTAGCATCTGACAGTTTTTGTTTACCAACTGTTTTGGGATTTCAATCGCTTTTGAAATGTCCAAAAGAAGGGGCAAACTGGTCAATAAAGACAGAGAAGGCACTCTCTCGCTGAGTGCTAGCATTACGCTAGCCGAGATCACTGCTTTACATGACGATATTAGAGCCTCATTCGCTGTAGAGTTCAAAGCATCTTTCGAAAGTTTTGCAGCCAAACTAGATAGCATTCAATCCACAGTGGCTGATCATGATCTGTGCATCGGTAATCTCGAGTCCGAAACTACAGATATTAGTCAGCATCTTGAACAACTCGAAGCTACATGTTCGGCGCTCCAGAAAGATAATGTGTGGCTTAAGGCTAAAGTCTCAGATCTTGAGAGCCGCAGCCGACGTCCAAAATATTTGAAATCTGGGCTTACCCAAGTCAATCGAACAGCTTTTTTCTCTCAGCTTCTGGTCGATGTCCTTGGTTCCCATGTTTTATCCTCCCCGCCCGAGCTGGACAGAGCTCATCGTAGCCTCGCACCTAAACCCGCGGCAGGGCAGAGAGCACGACCCGTCATTCTGCGATTCCATCGCTTTCAAGTGAAGGACTTGGTCATCCGTGAATCTCGCAAAAAGGGTGAGCTGCTGTATGATGGCACCAAGATTCATATCTTTGAGGATTACTGCCCTGAGGTTTTAAAGCTTCGCGCCGAGTATACACTGTAGAACATGATAGCCCAATTAAGTTATATGAACTTACTTTTTCTCTTTAATTCAATTTGTCATTGTAAGTTTTGGATATTGAACTAAAGTTTACACGTTCTTAAGTTGGTTAAACTTAGAAACGAAAGTTCACCTGCTGCCTTAAAAATGTGAGTAAACTCAACTTAAAGATATTCTTTGTTTCAACTTGAAAAGCTGTGTTTTACAAGTTATTGTGCATTAGTGATGAACACCTGCTGTTATTGAGAATTACAGAGGATCAGATGTTGATATTTTATTGGTTAAAATGATGTCACCATCATGGAGATCAGTGTTCGCTTTAGTTGGGCTCTTGACCCTTTTAATAATTCAAAGTAATTTGCTTCTAAGCAATTACTAAACATTTGTGCATTGCTAAATCAAACCTTGAAATAGCAGATGAACTTACACTTTCTGCTTATAGCTCATGATCTGTGTGTTACAAGTTATTGTGCATTAGTGATGAACACCTGCTGTTATTGAGAATTACAGAGGATCAGATGTTGATATTTTATTGGTTAAAATGATGTCACCATCATGGAGATCAGTGTTCGCTTTAGTTGGGCTCTTGACCCTTTTAATAATTCAAAGTAATTTGCTTCTAAGCAATTACTAAACATTTGTGCATTGCTAAATCAAACCTTGAAATAGCAGATGAACTTACACTTTCTGCTTATAGCTCATGATGAGTGAACATCATGAAGTGGTTTTTCTCTTTGGATTATTGTCTGACATTCAGCTGTTACTGAACTGCAAAAAAAAAGTCCTATTAAAGGGGTCATATGATGCGATTTCAATTTTTCCTCTCTTTGA